AGTAGGCTATTTTCAAAAAAACATCGATTTTATAAATATTAGCATTCTTTATCGTTTAAAATACCTAGATATGTTTTAAAATGCAATTTAAAGCATTTTTGGTTTCGATCATAGTAGGCTATTTTCAAAAAAGTATCGATTTCATATCTATAATAGATTTCTTTATCATTTATTATACCTAGATATGTTTTGAAATGCAATTTAAAGCATTTTTGGTTTTGATCATAGTAGGCTATTTTCAAAAAAATATTGATTTTATATCTATATTAGCATTCTTTATCATTTATTATACCTAGATATGTTTTAAAATGCAATTTAAAGCATTTTTGGTTTTGATCATAGTAGGCTATTTTCAAAAAAAATATCGATTTTATATCTATAATAGCATTCGTTATCATTTATTTTACCTAGATATGTTTTAAAATGCAATTTAAAGCATTTTTGTTTTCGATCAAAGTAGGATATTTTCAAAAAACATCGATTTTATAAATATTAGCATTTTTTATCATTTATAATATCTAGATAAGTTTCAAAATGCAATTTAAAGCATTTTTGGTTTTGATCATAGTAGGCTATTTTAAAAAAAATATTGATTTTATATCTATATTAGCATTCTTTATCACTTATTATACCTAGATATGTTTTAAAATGCAATTTAAAGCATTTTTGTTTTCGATCAAAGTAGGATATTTTCAAAAAACATCGATTTTATAAATATTAGCATTCTTTATCATTTATAATTTCTAGATATGTTTTAAAATGCTATTTAAAGCATTTTTGTTTTCGATCAAAGTAGGCTATTTTCAAAAAAACATCGATTTTATAAATATTAGCATTTTTTATCATTTATAATATCTAGATAAGTTTTAAAATGCAATTTAAAGCATTTTTGGTTTCGATCATAGTAGGCTATTTTCAAAAAATATCATAGTAGGCTAATTTCAAAAAATATCTATTTTATAAATATTAGCATTCTTTATCATTTATAATATCTAGATATGTTTTAATGCAATTTAAAGCATTTTTGGTTTCGATCTTTTTTTTAAATATTAAACCTTTTATTTATTTAATTTTAAATTTAAGTATGTACAAAGTTTCTATACATTTTGTTGCTTTTTGCCATGCTTCCAAATGCTGGACAACCATATGTGAATATTGGTCTGATGGCTAGCTTTTAGATGAGAAGTATGTTTCGTACGTCGAGTTGTGAGTTCCTGCTCATGAGCGGATAAAGCTGTCTTAATGCGGTGTGAGCCCTATTGGTCACATACTCCACATGCGGCTTTAATGTCACTCTCTTGTCTATCACCATTCCCAGATATTTAGCTTCTGTTTCCTATTTGATGTTTTCGTTGAGAAATTTGATGTTATTTTCTGGAAGTTGCCTGGAGTACCTGTTTGTGATGAATAAGTCTTGAGTCTTCTGTTTGTTGAGGTTGATCTTCCATTTGTTCATGTATTGTTGAACTTTTCTTCCTGTGTGCTGTAGATGTGTCACAATACCGGCCGAGTTCTCTGCAGAATAATACAGTGCTGTATCATCTGCAAAAAGACCGATGTTGTTGGTTGTCTCTCTTACAACATCATACGTGAAGATGTTGTAGAGAGTTGGTGAAAGCACTGCTCCTTGTGGCACTCCGAATTTGATTACCTTGATTTCTGAGAACTGACCTTTAATAAAATTTGCGAAAGATCTTTCACTGAGCAACTAATAATTATAAAAAATTACCTTAAAGTAAAAAAAAATTATGAATTGTTGCTCTAGGAGTGACATTTTAACATAAAAACATTGCATTTTCAAAAAATTTCAAAATCAGAAGATTTAAAATAAGTTTTGATTTAAAATAATTGAAAAATAAGAAAATATTGTTGAAAAAATGTATAAAAATAATTTTGTTGAAATTTGAGTAAAAAAATTGTTCAAACTATGACAAATTTATACTCAAAATGTGCGACTTGATGAGATCTATTGATCTAAAGCAAAATCTAAAATTTAAAAAATAAAAAAATTTATATTCAATTTTTTTGTGTTGAAATGTATTTCTGGTCACACTTCAAAGTCAAATTGCTCGAGATTGTCTCAGTAAGCGAACTCAAGCTGATTGTATATTCTGATACAATTTGTATTTCAAATATGGTTTGCCTGATTATATATTTCAAAGCATGTAAAAAAATTCCACTACTATGGATTATCCTGAAAAGTTATGGGAATTTATGTCAAAAAATTGCAGGTTTTTAAAAAGATTCAGCATCATTTGTTTTAAGAGTGAAGTCCTAGACGAACGTAATCATACTGAACACGTGCTTTTTGGAAAAACCTTATTAAATGTTCATTGTTTTAAAATGGAGCTTTTGTTCAAAGCTACAATTAATCCAGTGAATTGTAGTGATAGGTTTTGTGGGGCGAGAAAATGATCTTCATCGAAACTTTGAAAAGCCATATCTCGGAACATTGACTGAATTGGTCGCTTTTGTAATCATTTTCATAAATGGGAATGAAAGAGCTATCATTTAGACCAAAAAAAAAATTTCGATTTCTGGCCCATAGAGGAAAGTTGCTTATTTGAAAAGAATTTTTGAAGAAACAAAAACTGAAATTACACAAAAAATTAAGTTTTTTTCTGACATGGCACTATGGGGCAAAATTGAAAAAAGAGGGACTTTCACTTTGATTTTGGGACTTTTTCGAATTACGTTCTCAAGTGAAATTTATCTTGTAGAGGACATCAAACCTGACTTTTATGCCAAATTTCAAGTCATTTGGTGCTGTTCCTGCAATTTTATGGCTGTTTGAAGTCGGAAAATAGCAAAAAAACAGATTTTTTCAGTCCAACTTTGAAGTCAAAACTCTCTGCAACGGTTAATTAAAATAAAAAACGGTTTTCGGTTTCTAGTAGTCCTATATAAGAACTATATTTGTTGAAGTACATAATTTTTTTCGATAAAATTTTTGTACTCATATGCTAGTAATTGTATGAAAATCCTATGAAAAATATCTTCAAACACGCCGCAACTATCTTAGATGACGACTACTTAAGGGGTAAAACCATATCATCATAAAGCCCTTGACTTCTTGTTTTCAAAACTGTATGAACTTTAAAATATTATTGGTACACTTTTGAGTCACCCTCAAAATCATAAATTTCTCATAAAAATTACAAAACAATAATTACAAATATTTTTGTTAATGTTTTCTAATAGAAAATGACATTTAAAAACAGCATGCAAAGAATTTTTTTCAAAAAGTTTAAAATATGTCGATATATTGGGTACATTTGATATCTGACGACTTGTATGGAAAATATTTTTAAAATCTGTTTTCAGATTGTTATAGCTTAAATCAAGATCTTTCCAACGATATAAAATACTTGATGGTTAGGTATGATCTTAGTCATGATTATGTGCCTTGTTTGTGAGCGACCCTAAACTAGAAAAATCTCAAAAACGTCATTTCTAGATATACCACTTAGAAACAAATTTAAGTATTTATTTGTGGTTTTTTATGATGATAAATCATAGTTATGACTATTAAAACTCAAAAATTTGCATTTCACAAAGTTTTTGCTATCTCAGACAGCTTCTAAGGAACGACCCTAGTAGACAATATTGGGTCTGAAAATCTCAAAGATTTGATTATTTTTCAGAGTTTTGTTGATTGATATTTCATATTGGAACATATTTGAGTCAAAATACATTAATTTTAGATAAATTTGATGAGTAAATTCTTGATTTTGGCTATTTTATTGAAGTTCAGCTTGCGTCGGTCACATTCAAACCACTCCCATGAAAGGCATGATTGAGTTTCATGCAAGTATTATACATCACCTTAAAGGTATTGATTTAAGCTAGCAATAACCAAAAACAGATTGCAAAAATATTAATTCTGAAATAAGTTATGGTCATTTGAGTGGATCGAAATGCATACAGAACCTCAATCAGCATAGGTAAAAAATACAAAAACAAGGCACATAATCATGACTAATATCATACCTAACCATCAAGTATTTTATATCGTTGGAAAGATCTTGATTTAAGCTATAACAATCTGAAAACAGATTTTAAAAATATTTTGTTTTCTTAAAGCTGGAGCGTTATAAGTGGTGGGAAAACCATACAAGTCGTCAGATATCAAATGTACCCAATATATCGACATATTTTAAACTTTTTGAAAAAAATTCTTTGCATGCTGTTTTTAAATGTCATTTTCTATTAGAAAACATTTAAAAAAATATTTGTAATTATTGTTTTGTAATTTTTATGAGAAATTTATGATTTTGATCAAATATTCAACGGCTTATTAAAATCAATTTATCTCAAAAGTGTACCAATAAAATTTTAAAGTTCATACAGTTTTGAAAACAAGAAGTCAAGGGCTTTATGATGATATGGTTTTACCCCTTAAGTAGTCGTCATCTAAGATAGCTGCGGCGTGTTTGAAGATATTTTTCATAGGATTTTCATACATTTACTAGCATATGGAGTACAAAAATTTTATCGGAAAAAAATTATGTACTTCACCAAATATAGTTCTTATATAGGACTACTAGAAACTGAAAACCGTTTTTTATTTTAATTAACCGTTGCAGAGAGTTTTGAATTCAAAGTTGGACTGAAAAAATCTGTTTTTTGCTATTTTCCGACTTCAAACAGCCATAAAATTGCAGGAACAGCACCAAATGACTTGAAATTTGGCATAAAAGTCAGGTTTGATGTCCTCTACAAGATAAATTTCACTTGAGAACGTAATTCAAAAAAGTCCCAAAATCAAAGTGAAAGTCCCTCTTTTTTCAATTTTGCCCCATAGTGCATGGAAAAAAATACTTAATACTTACAAATACTTATAAATTTTAAAGACTAAAGATTTTTTTTATTTATTTGTTTAAATTTAAAGAACTTTTATTGTGTCCTTTTTAATAGAACATCAGATTATATCCTAATGTTTATTTTTGACATTTTTTTACTAGTCAGTTTCATAATTTTTATTTTAAATTTTTTTTCCACTTTGTTAATAAACTTGCATGTATGAAGCAGGATGAAAAAGAAAAATAGGACTGGTTAAAATATTTCTTTTTTTTGAATTTAACATCATTTTTTTTGCTACAAATTATTAAACTATGTACCACTTCCAATAATTCGAATGACATTAATGTTTTGTAAGACTTATTTGAGTAAAAATTTTATTACTTCCACTTTCATATTTCTGCTAATCGTATTGTATTTGTTTTCTTCGATTTTTTAAAGCTAAATAGCTTCAATTTTATTCCTCAATTTATTTATTTCATTTCCCTTTATGAATGGATTTTTTAGTGGCTGTGTGACAAAAAAAAACTTTATACGCTTGATCAAACTATGCATTACTTATTTCTTTTTCTTTAAATACCCGACAACTAAAATCAATCATACAAAAAGTTATGTTTAAAAGTGGCAACACAATAAATAAAATTAAATATTATTTTCATCTCGTTTGTTTTCTTATTTTTTACTACGTTTTTTACATTATGTGTAAGAGGAACGACCATAGATCTTGAGGAAAATAGTATTTTGATTTTAAATCATTATTAAGGATTCATCAAACTAATCAATGAAACTTTGTTCCACACATGCTTTAACACGTTTCTCATATTCTCGACGATTCTCTTTATATAATTGAGCAGCCATGGCGTTTGCTGGACTGTTTGGATTCGGATCACTTAAAAGTGACTACAAAAACAAATAAAATTACATAAATTTATTTAAGATCAGTTACATCAATTAATGAATTGTGAAGTCATTTACCTGAATAGAAGTTAATATGGCAGATACGTCATACGTTGGACTCCATCGATTCTGTAATATATCCAAGCATATTCCCCCGTCTGCGTAGACATTTGGATGAAACATTTTAGAAACAAATCGAACTGTTGGCGGTTTGTTAGGATATTCTTCCGTAAACTCTATCGTCAATTTAAAAGTTCCATCCTCAAATGGTGTATCGTGCGGTCCAAAAATCACAGCATTCCATATCATAATGTTATTATCAGTCGGAGCTCCAGAAACTCCAGTTGGGGGGTCTTCTTGAAGTCTGTACAAAGCAATTAATTATGTTAAACTTTTCAAATTTAAATACATTTTTAAAATTCATTTAATTTTTTTTTTCTTGTTTATATATACTATATTTTCAATAAAACAAACTGTTAATTTTTTTTTTTTTGAACTTTAATAATATCTACAAACAACCAAATTTAAATAGACAATATCCAAATAGAAAGTGTTTATGCTATTAAGACGCAATTTGGTCACAAAATGTCAAATTTAAAGATACCTTTTTTCTTGATTTACATGACTCACACTATTCTATTTTATTATACTTTTTTTTGTGAAACTACAACATTTTAGGATGCTAGCAATTCTTTAGTTATTAATTTGTATGCTGCTATATAGATAACAAAAGGAAGCTGTTTTGCTGCAACAATGAGTTTTAGATATAAATTTAAACAATGATTTTTTGATTGGTACCAGAAAAGAAACCATTAACTTCGATAATTATTATTCATCTTTCTTTTTCAAATTTACCTTTTAAAATCTCGCATTAATCTTCGTCTTGCAGGTGTTGACATTTTCTTTGTGATAAAGAACTTTTTGCACAGAAAATAAGAAACTAATTTTTTGATTTTTCTTAATGAAAATCTGAACGGGGAAAGCAAATTTCTTTCTACTAAATTTTTAAATAAAATAGCTTTATTCTTTTAATTTCCTCACTATTGTTACTTATTCCCACAGCTTATGCGTTTGCATATATTATTAAGATATAATCTTTTGAAATTTAAAGCGTAAACTATAAATAAATTTATTTTTTCTGAAATAAAAAAAACTTTTACGAAATTTGTAGATGTCCAAAAAAACTTTATGTTTAGAAAAAAAAATTTTCGCTAGAAACAATTTTAAAAATTTAAAAGCTGTTATAAACTATTGAATTGGGCAGAAATACAATATTCACACCGTACCATTCTTGGATTTGAAAGTCTTGTGGATAGACCAAGATTTGCTCAGCATAAGTTTGAAAGTGAAATGAAGATTAACAGATAGGATTTTTGCTTTTATTGAAGCAACGGCTGTTCCTACCTTGCTTAAAAACTATACAGCTCTTCTATAGGACAGCACGGATCCAATGCAAAAAACTAGAAGTCTCTACAATGTATCGTTATTTCGAACAAACTGAAAACAGAATTTAAAAATATATTGTTTTCTTAGAGTTGTGGCAGTTTGAGTGGTTCGAAAACCCCTCAAGTCTTCAGATATCAAAGAGATATCAGATCCCAACATCTTGTCAGATTTTGAATTTTTTGTATAAAATAATCATTTAAGATAGTTGCTGCGTGTTTGAAGATATTTTTCCTTAGGATTTTCACACATTTACTAGTATATGAGTACAAAAGTTTGATCGAAAAATAAAAGATTTACTTTACCAAATAAAGTTCTTTTTATTTAAGAACTTTTCTTTTTCTATAAAACTATTAGAAACTGGAAACCGACTTTTTTTTATTTTAATTAACCGTTGCAGAGAGTTTTAACTTCAAAGTTGGAGTGAAAAATCAAAATTTTTACTCATTCTCAACTTAAGATCGTAAACGACTTTGCCCCACAGTGGACAGGAGAAAAATGTGTCAGGTTTTTGACACCCTCAAAACAAACGATCAAGCCCATAAAAATGAACTAATAATGATATTTTAATCTCATGAAGGTGTGTGAATGCGTAACATATGCAGCCTCGTGCTGCACTTAGCCTAGCACCACCATGTACCAACCCCACCTTCTCGCGGTGTGAGACCGTTAATCCAAGCCACATAGTGGGGCGGAGACCAACGGGGCTCTGGTTTTATAGGTTGCGTTGGCCTAGCAAGCCGCCAACCTTAACCACAAAGCTAAGAAACCCAAAGAGAAGCAAACCGGACTGAATTTATCAATGACGACCACAGCCAAACGAAAAAGGACAAACGATTTACAACTCAACAGCTGGAATGTGCGGACGCTGTCAGGACCGGGAGCGTTGTCAGCATTAGTGCTTGAGTTGCGGCATTACAAGTGCAACATAACAGCAATCCAGGAGACGAAATGGACCGGACAGCATGTCTTTGAATGCCAAAGATTCACTGTTTTCTCGAGTGGCGCTACGAATGGAAAGTATGGAACAGGCTTTATTGTGGACCCCAGATGGGCAAAACATGTGATTGATTGGAGACCAATCAATGAGCGAATTTGCGTGTTGCGGGTGAAAGGCAAATTCTTCAATTACAACATCATCAATGTTTACGCCCCACACAACGAAAGACCTGAGGAAGAGAAAGACAAATTCTACCGTAAGCTTGAAAAAGCATATGAAGAGTGCCCGCGAAATGATATCAAGATCATTATAGGTGATCTGAATGCACAGGTAGGAAGGGAGAAGTCCTTCAAGCCAAGTATTGGAGGATTTAGTCTTCACAGTGAATCAAATGAGAATGGATTGAGACTAATCAACTTCGCCGCGTCGTTAAATATGGTGATTAGCTCGACATGTTTCAGGCATAAAGACATCCACAAAACAACATGGGTGTCCCCAGGAGGCAAGACCAGCTCGCAGATTGACCACGTATTGATTGACAGGAGGCATGCATCGGATGTGATGGACGTTCGTAGCTTCAGATGTCTAGAGACCGATATCGAGCATCATTTTACGGATCACTTGTTGTTGGGAGTAAGAATAAGAGCCCGCATTAGCAACATCAACAAAGAACGTGGCGTGAGATGTAAACGCTATGATGTTGCTAAGCTCATCAACAAGGATTGCAAAGATGCGTTTAACAAGGACCTAAAGGAACGCTTAGCAATGCATGAACATGAAGGAGCTGCATGGCACCAGTGTTGTGAAGCTATGCAGGCTAGTGCTGAAAAATGTCTTGGCATCAAACAACACACAAAGAATGTCTGGTTTGACAAGGAATGTGAGGAAGCTGTCCAGCGGGTCATCGATGCAAGGAAAGGAAGAGTTACGAGAGCTAAAGCGGATGAGATAAGGATGCTTCAAAAGGAGAAGAAGAGGGTGCTGCAAAGAAAGAAACGAGCTCACGATCTCAAAGTGATCTCTGATGTCCACGAAGCACACAGCATGAATGAGTCCAGGAAGTTCTATAAGGCCATCAATGACGCTAAGAAATCTTTCCATGCGAGAGTTTCTGTATGTAGGAGAAAAGATGGAAGTCTTGTGTGTGATAAGGATGGAGTCCTGGATAGGTGGAAGGAGCATTTTTGTGAACTTCTCAATGATGGAGCGGAAGGAGTTATCTCGCATGTTAGACATCCTTACGAGAAAGATGATGGGAAGGAATTTGATCCTCCATCATTAGACGAGGTAGCAGCAGCTATCAGCGGCCTAAAGAATAATAAGGCGCCAGGTCTAGATGGCATACCTGCAGAGCTTTTCAAGACTGGATGTGAAGAATTAGTTATTACTCTTCACCAGCTGATTGAGCGTGTGTGGATGGAAGAGAAGCTACCTGAGGAATGGATGATCGGTGTAATTTGCCCGATTCACAAGAAAGGATGTAAGATGACATGCTCGAACTACCGAGGGATTTCTCTTCTCCCTTCGGCTTATAAAGTGCTCTCGAAGATTCTATCCTCAAGACTTGAGCCTCTCACAGAAGCTTTCCTGAGTGAATATCAAGCAGGTTTTAGACGGCAGCGATCTACATCTGACCAAATCTTCAGTATTCGGCAAATCGTGCAGAAGAGCTATGAGATGAATGTAGAAACACATCATCTATTTATTGACTTCAAGGCAGCATATGACTCAATAGATCGGGAAGGGCTGTGGAATATCATGGCGGAGTTTCATTTCCCGCATAGAATGATAAGATTGCTCAAAGCAACCTTAGCGAAAGTCATGTGTAGTGTCAAAGTACAAGGCTCAACATCAAGTTTGTTTGAATGCAGGATTGGTCTGAGGCAGGGAGATGAACTGTCAACTAAGCTTTTTAACATTGCGCTTGAAGGAGTTTTCAGGAAAGCTGGTTTGGAATTAAATGGTACAATCTTCACAAAGTCAACTCAGCTTCTTGGTTTTGCCGACGACGTAGACATTGTTGGACGTAACATCAGATCCGTTACCGACGCTTACTCCAAAATGGAAAGAGAAGCTAACAAGATCGGGCTTCGTGTGAATGAAGACAAAACAAAGTTTCTCATGGTGGCAGCATCTGAAAGAACGAGGAAGTTTGTTGGGTCTCATTTGTCAATTGGCAATAAAAGATTCGAAGTGGTAAATGATTTTGTCTACCTAGGGTCGATTATTAGCAACAATTTTGACACACAAGTGGAGATTAAGCGAAGGATCTTGGCTGCGCAGCGTGCATATTTTGCAATTAGACATTTACTAACATCGAAGAGAATAGCGAGAAATGCCAAACTAGTGATGTACAAGACACTAATACGCCCAGTAGTGTTGTACGGTTCTGAGTCATGGAATATGACTATCGCAGATGAGAACGCAATTGGTGTATTTGAGCGTAGGGTCTTGCGAATTATATTTGGACCGAAGAGAGAAGGTGACTTTTACAAAAGCAGGACCCTAGCAGAAATTTACTAGTAATTTCCTAGTAATTTACTGGATAACTTTCCATTTGCTACTTGCTATTTACTAGTCAAAATCCAAGTTCAAATCATCGCCAAAGACCCGCATTTTCACTTGCTAATTGACTAGTCAATTCGCTTACAATTTAACTAGTAATTTACTAGCAAATTTGTAAAAAATTTAAATGAATATAACCGTTGATTTCCACGTGTTCTTTTGATTTTTTTTATTTGTGTAAATTATTGTAAAAGTATTAGTGTGTACTTAGTTTAATTAATTAAAGTACACTAATACTACGAAAAAAATAAAAAGACTTAATTAAATTAAGTCAAACACTGATGAACGCTTATGACTCGCACGCAAACCTGAGGAAGATAAATAATTAAATTGAATGTTTCATACAAATTTGGATCGAGCTTATAAAGGTGATTTCTGCGCGCTCTTGTGAAGTATATGGCAAATGCCAAATTTAGAACAAAATTTTTTATGATGCAAAAATTTCTTTTTTTGATGATTTTTCGTAGGATTTGAACTTAAGAAGATTTGATCAAACATTTCTCATGGAAATTTGCTAGTAATTTGCTATTAAATAGTAAGTGTAATTTACTAATAGTAAGTTGTTTTAATAATAACTAGTAAATTGCAAGTAGTAAAATAGAAAGACTAGCAATTTGCTAGTTAGTCTCGCTAGGGGGAGTAACGCAGAATTATATCAGCTTTTCAATGAAGCTGATATCGTACGACGAATCAAAGTCAACAGACTCCGTTGGGCTGGACATGTCGTTAGGAGACCTGTTGAAGCTCCCATTAATAAAGTCTTTAAGAATGTTTTTGTAGATGGCAAAAGAACACGCGGGCGACCCAAGAACTCTTGGAAAGAAGCTGTTGACAGAGACAGTATTGCATTTGGTATGGTTAATTGGCAAACGGAAGCCAGCGACAGAGTCAGCTTCAGGCGCCATCTAAGGGAGGCCATGGATCACAATTGATCTGTACGGCCAGCGAAGTAAAAGTAAAGTAATGATATTTTAAAGATTTTCGTAATAGAAATAAACAAAAAATTCATATTTTAAATCAGTTTATTGTAATTATTTTTTTTTCTTCTTCTAACATAAATGTCATTTTGATGATTCTTTCAATCATATTTTAGTTTTTTCTAGATCAATTTAATTATTCACGTGATTTTATATAATAATGGATGAAGAATTTATTAATTAAGTTTATTTGCATCTAATTATTAATTGCGAATGTAACTATTTTTTAACTCATCCAATACAATGTTTCATATTTTCTACATTTTGTAAAACATTTTTAACACTTAGAAAATTAAAAAATATCCAATTACTTAAGATTCTTCCATCCTTTATTTTACATATTTGCTGAAAAAAAATTTTTCTTCAAAAATTGTTTGCCATGTGAATACTTTAATATTATTAAAAGTTTTCTGCTTTTAGACAAAATGACAAAACAATAATAATATTATAAAATATAATATAAACAGTTTTAAAAAAAAGGTACTTGATTTAAAATGAATTTTAGGAAAGGAAAATTGTTATTGGCACCATAATTTGTGTATTGTGAGGAATACAATAATACTCTCTCGTATACAAGTATACAAAGAAAACAATCGTTTAATTGGAACATATTTAAACCAATGAAAAAACATAAGATTAATAATCTACCACAAATCTTTCAAGAAAAGAATTAAAAAAATTTTAATATATAAAACAAAGTGTAATAATGTGGTTATAACACAAAGTACATTTATCACAATTAAAGTTGCTTCTAACATGGATGAATAGCGGTTAAAACAAAAAACCTAAAGACGACAAATCATAGTATTTAATTATAAATTTATAAATTGGTAAAAAAAAGTACAATTAAGCTTATTCCTTATTTCTTGTTATTCATTGTTATCAGAATCTCTTGAAGATAAAGAGTTGTGAAATCATTTTTAATAAAGCAAAAGGTAATAACAAATTTCTTTATTTTGCTAGGGTATTTATGAAAAAACATAAAAAATACCCCTCCCCCCTAAATTCTTGGTATAGGGTGATTACATAAAAAATCAAATCTGAATTTTTTGAAAAACATTATTTAAAAGGTTGATTTTTTTAAATACTGAATTTATTTTTTTCATCATTTATTAATATTATTATTTCATCATTCTTCAATAAATAGATAAAAAAACGAAAAAAAAACATGTCGTACTTGAATCTTCATTTTTTATCAACTTGAGAAGTTTGCGCTCAATTATAATTATCATTTATTTGTTGAAATTTCACCTATCCATTAATTTTGTTCTTTTTTTGAGAAATTTTGGCTATTGAATTAAGTATTAAATGGATGGCCTCTTATCATTCGAGAGAATCAGCTAATAATGTAGATAATAAATTTTCACAAGGAATTATTCTTAATAAATTCTTGTCATGGTTTTTAATAATTTGATTTTTTTATACTTTCTTTTGTATTATTTTATTATTTTGAAGAAAAATACGAAAACTATAGAAATAATTTATTTGATTGAAAAGCCTTAACATTTAAAATAAAATTATTTTCATCATCTTTCAAAAATCGCCTAAAAATCTTTTTACGCCAAAATTTACATTTTAAATTATTTCATTTGCATTCTTTCAAATCACATTGAATTTATATAAATTTTCAGCTTGATTTGTTTACAATTTTGTTTTGCATTTTCATTACGTTAAGGCTTTATTGATCTGTTTTGTCCGAAAATATATTTTTATAAAAAATATTAAATATTGTACGATTAATCGTTCAGTTTTACATATTTTAAATTGGTTTTCTTTTAAATTTCATTAATTATTAAATTATACAGTTGATAGATAGCAAAACTACACCTTTTAAACTAAACATCAGAAGATATTTCTATTTTCTTTTTAAACTAATTTATCGCTTGCTTCTTCTACATCTTTAACAAAGAGTTTTAAAGTCCATTACTATTTTTATAGAAGTAGTATAAATGAAATGACTTATTAATAAATTGTTGGATTTACTTAAGAATAATTGAAAAGGATTTAAATCCTACAAAAGCATAAAATTTTTTGTCTTGTTAAAAAAAATTATGAAACATGTTTTCTCTTTTTTTTATACATATCCTTATATTTTAAATTAATTTTTATACCTTTTTGTTTATGATAAAACACAATATTTTTATGATTTGATTTAATCAAAAGTTTTCAATATCACTAGAAAAATACGGTGTGAGTATAAAACATAAATTTCTAATACGTTTTCTATTGATCAAGAAATAAAGAAAAATCCTGGAAAAATTAGATTTTTATCCTAAAATTTTGCTTTTAAACTACACTGGTTGAAATTTTGTGTTATTATTTATATTCAAAATTATTTATTAATTTCACTACGAAGACTATTTTGATAAGAAAGTTATGAACATTGAAAATATGTATTTTTTTGTCATTTTTTTTAATTTGGATGTCGTAAAGAGTGTTTTAAAAATTTCCCTAAAAGAGTGTATCACTGAGCAGCAGTTACGATTGCAGTTTGATCGGATACTGAAAAACAGAAAGTAATAAAATGTATTTACATTCCCTATTTTTCATTGCTAACCTTGTAAATTTTCGTTGGGTGTATAAGGTTGTTGTTGAGTCATTCCAGGTTGAGCCATATATTTTTGACGAACTTCTCGGATTTTGAGTTGAAGACTTTGTTTATTTGGAAATATGTTACTATGTTCAAGCTTAAATTAGAATTAAAATAAAAAACAATGATGACAAATTTATGAAATTGGTTCATTACCTGAAAACTATTTGTAGCTTGGGATGATGGAAACATTCCATGTTGTTGAAATAGCTCCATTACAAGTCTTCTCCGTTCTTCTAAAACTTTTCTGTGTCCCTTTTCATTTGTATCTGATCTTTGAGATGGAGTTTTCGGGGTTCTCGGGGAGCGATCCGAGTTATCTTCTGCAGCCAACACAGCGTTTACACAATCTTAATAATAAATAAATTAGTAAATAATATAAAAATTCCAGTAAAACAAAAAAAAAACTTACATCTCAACTGATCAATATTGAAATCAGGTCCAAAAAATCGATTACCCATTAAAAACGATGCAGCTGAAGGTGTAGCTGAAGACATGGCACTTCCAAGATCCGATTGCTCTTCATCTGTTTGAGCTTTTAAATTAATTGTTCGTTAAAATTAAGAATAAAATAATATATCATAAGCAACAAAATGAATATCGAAAGTTTCTTACTCATGCTTTTATTTAACATTATCTGCTGCTTTTTACGATAACTCTGTGTAAATACTCGTGGTGAAGATGGAACTGATATTGCGCTTGGAGATTGACAATCTTCTGGTTTAAATTGTGGTAAAATTTTAAATTTATTTTCAAAATCGACTTGACGAAGGACACTGCATTAAGAAAATAAAACCCATGTTATTAATTAATCAATCAATAAGACACAAAACTCACCTATCATCAATTTTTATTTTCTTGTATGATGATTTAATTTTAAACGTTGGTGATGTTTGAAGCTGATCTTCATAAGGAGGTGCAGATGTTGGAGTTGGAAGTGCTGATGGTACTGCATTCATTGAACTCGCACTGGTAGAAGTTAGTGTTTCGATATATGTCAATTCAGATATAGATGTATTTGAAGAATTTATAGCTAAAATATATGTCATTAGGGTTTATGTAATGCTATTATTATTTATTTAAACTTTCTGCTTACATTGATTTTGCCGTCTTTGTAGTGGAGCCTTTCCTAGCTGTGCTGGTGTTGGTGCCAACACAAACTTTTTATTTTCTATTGATTCATAACTCTCGCTTCCTTCATTATTTTCTCCTATATCTGTATCGTTTTGTGCTTCATTTGATTTAGGTGTTGCTGGTAAATTTGTTCTAGGTGATTCTGGTTCTTCTTTAATTTTCATTCCACTTTGATGATTAATAGATGACTCAAAAGATTGCTGTACAAAAACAGTTGGTATTTTTGAGTTATTAAACGCATATGCAGGGTGTTGCATTGTTTGTTGTTTAACATTTGGATTGGCTAAAACTTCGGTTGATAATTTTGGATACACAATGAATTCATCCTTAAAAAAATACGAGTAAAATGTACATAAAAAATAAAAAAATCATGAATTAGTTGATGATAAAAAAAAGGCTGATTTACCTGCTCATTAGAATTAATTGAAAGCATAATTGACTGTTGATTTCCCATTTTTCCGGATGACATGGACGATGCTGTTGTTGATGCTGATGATTGTGAATTTAAATTTAATACAATTGATTGAATGGGATTCTTAACATCACTCAAACATTTAATGCTGCTGCCATTACCACTTAAATGTGGCTGGCAAAGCTGTTGTGAACTAGTTACCACATGACCATTTTGATTTAACAACAATTCATTTAAAGATCCAGTTAATACAATAATACCACCACCATTATTATTAGCAGAAGCATTGGAATTTGCTTCTAACGTTATATGATTTTTGTTAGTGACATATTTATTAATATTGTTATTATGATTAATGTAGGAATTAACATTATTATTGCTTGACATAAAACCTATGATTTCTTCATTATGTTGCGTTGTTGGATTTTCAATCACAATAGTTTCATAAATAATTGCAGTTGTACCATTTTCTTCCAATTTAATGGCATCATAATAACTTGCACCATCGTGATGCGTTTCAGTAATTATGATACCATTTCCACCAGATTGAACATTACCGCTATTATCACATATACTGATAACATTTATATTATTGTTAGTTTTATTAGATGATGATTGAATGTTAGTAGAAGAATTATTAGTAGATGAGTCAGATGATGACATAGAGGGACAGCAAGAAGTTGAAACATGATGTGATGATGCAACAACATTCACATTAACATTTAAATCGGTTACATCCATATTTTTACCTTCGTGATGCTTCAATGCTGACACGTTTAAGTTGCTACCATTTCCTACCGAACTAAAGTCACTAATGTTTCTACCGATTGCACTCTCGTCCTTCGTTAGCGTTTTTGCCAACTTTACAGATGGAAAGTTAAAAATTGTATTGTTATTGTTAGCGTTTGTGCTGTTTGCTGATATACATTTTGCTTCCATTTCTGCTTTAATTGTTGGTGTGGTCTGAACATATCCACATGTTTTCGGACTTTGAGGCATGGTTTTAAAAGCTCCTCCTGTTTATATAAAAATAAAATAAAAAAAAAACCAATAAATAGACAGTTGGTTATATTAAAAGCATGTAAATCAATTTTAAGATAGTTACCTGTTGGATGAAAAGGTAAAACTCCAACTGGATTTTTGGGGCTATTGTAAGGAAATATGGACATAGGTGAGTATAAAGCACTGCTTTCACTTTGATGCAGCGGGTTAATGGGTTTAGGCTTCCTTGTCATACTGTCTTTTTGATATGTCCCCTAAAGTACACAATTTATGTTATGTTATATAATTATTTTTGATATTGATAAAGCTACACACCTTTTCGTCAGTATTTGATTCAACGTCAGAATCTGTTACCTTTTCACCACACTTAAGGTCGATTTCTATTCCTTCCTGTTGTTGTTGTTGTTGTTGTTGTTGTTGGGGATGATGCATGTCTGATGAAAATTCTTCGATAGCTTGTTTATTTCCGATGTTCTCCTTTCCTGTTTCATTGTTACCTATCTCATAATTGTTAATTGTGAGTGGAATTACGGAATCTGACATTTGATGGGGTTGATTTAAGTGCTCAGCTGGTGTTTTTGGGCTTTTTTCGTCAGAATCAACACCATCTAGAGAATCTATTCGACTTCGAGAGTCCTTTGTAGAGCTAGAGGATTTTCGTCTATCTTTAGAACACCATTTCCATTCAGGGTGAGCTTTGAAATGTGCCTCCTTTACTTCGCTTGCGAGCTCATGATACTTTGTCTTCTCATCAGATTTAAGAGCATACCACCATTCCCCTAAAATTTTACTCACAGTTCGATTATCTTGATTCGGGTGCTGTTGATGGACCATAGCTCGATGACGCTTCGAAAAAATCATAAAAGCATTCATAGGTCTCCTTATACGCGGATCTTTTTTGCTACTTGGACTTGAAGGTTCTTTTCCAGCTTGTATAGCGCTTAAGGATTGTGATCTTCCTTTTTTTGCATTACTCCCATTGTTTAAAGAGATTGAATCAATATCTTGTAACTTATCAGAATGACCAAATTGTCCTGAATTTATGTCATCTGCACCACCTATTCCACTTTGAAATATTACTGATCGTTGTTGATATTCATCAGTTCCATTACTGGATGAATGTTGACAATTTTTTGGTGGCACGGGTTCTATGAAATAATGCAACATATTTTATTAGTTTTGAACGTAATATCTCAGTTCATACTCCTTAAATTACTAACCTTCAAAGACATCGTCATCATCTCCGCTTATGTCACCTTCATCATTATTGCTGTTTGTGATAGCAGTTGATCCACAAGATGGATCGTTTCCATGTTGAACATTATGATGACTGTCTGTTGTATTATGCGGTGGTGCATTAATTACGGGCAACAGACTGTGCCATTGATAAACTGAACCCGTGTTAATTCCGTTTTTTGTCACTGTTTTTAATTCTAACTGATTTAAATTAGGTGTTTGAGAGTTTCCACCTGTACCAGTATTCAGAGCATTCAGAGAAACGGCCATTGAAGTTGTTGATGGAGGAAGTAACGGTACTAAATGTGTTGGATCAACAATAACAGGGTGGAATGGTTGAAACTGGTTTGCCGAAGCTGGAGAAATTCGAATGACACTAGTTGCGTGCCCAATAGTACTATGTTGAGTTGTTGGCTGTTGTTGTGTGGCAACAGTGACAGGATTCGGATTGTGTGTTTGCTGTGGTAAATTAGATGGGCATTGCTGAATATTAGACATATGATGATGTTGTGATGGTCTGACCAATTCTGGGCGTATGACTTGTGTGTGTGGCATGTTATAGGGAACTGGACTGGATGCATTATTTTTATATTTTGAGTTCTCATTGTGCGTTGTCATATCGGCTGCAGGAATAGGCATGAAAACATTTTGCCTATTACCAACGGTTGTTACTGGAGATTGATTTGGAACACTTGGCGATGAACCTTGTGCTGTCGGTGATGAAAATGCAGGAGTTGCAGATCGTGAACTGCTCAAAGACACTAAAATTTAAAACAAAATCTGATGAAAATTGTATTTTACAGTAAAGGCAATTAATAAATATAATAAATCATCAAACATAATTACATAAACATTTCCAATATAATTCTGCACCGATATTAAAATCGATATAATTCATTATTTTTAACTCTTTTTTAAAATATATAAGTGAAGAATCTTTTAAAACACTATAACTTTTTTTTTATCCTAAATTTATGTAAATTAATTCACACTTTAATTGTATGTATTTAGATCGTTTGATAAAATGTTACTGATGATATTTACTGTTATTATTATTATTTACAAACAAAAACAAAGATGGAATTAAAATATTAATGGTCACATTTGTTTTGATGAGAATAGCGTAGGTAAAAATTGAGTGAGCAAATAATAAAAAAAGAGAATTAAAGTAGGAAAGTAGAAATTGAAATTCTCAATCAAGAAATATTAAATACGTAAGATGCATATATTTTCCTTTATCTCCAAATTGTAATTAACATAAAAAAGAAAAACGTTTTGAAATGGAAGTATAAGAAATTTCTAAAATAATATGAATAAATGACTCATTTAGCATAATTGCTTCCTTTTTTATTTATAATTTTTTAAATTTTGCAAATTGTTTTAATGAATAATCTTGACCACATCACAATCGATATTTACTTTAGGTTTTAAAGAATATTATTGAAATAGAAAAAAATCTTTTACGATCAAAAGTTATTGTACCTAAATTTTGGAAACTTTTTTTTGAAGTAGAATCTCATTTGTCAATAAATGAAAAAATGTCAGAGAAAGTTACGAAGATTAATAATTAATCACACTCATTTACACTTACCTAACATATTTGCAACATCTGTTTCATCTTGATCAAATTTCCCTGTAACGCGATAATTTGGGGAAGTTTCTGAGTCACGGCTAGTGTCTTCATCACCTTGTGTTTTACTACTTGAACGACTCGCTGAAAAATGATTTGGGCCAGCTGATGAGCGCAAAGCATTGCCTTTCTGACTCAAGTGTCGTGAACAAAATCCACGTCGCTGGGATTCTTTAGTACATGTTTCGTTCGAACATAATCTACGCCACTGCTTACCATTAAATTTTTTCCTAATTCCATTTGGTGTAGACACTACATCTCCTTTTTTAAAACGATGCGGTGTTGCCGCTTGAGATCTTTTTATATAAAATATAAATATACATTAAATTCAAGTCAATTCAAAGTAATATAGAAATATTACCGTGGAGTTGCAGGTTGAGATCGAGGTGTTAAGCTTCCATGTTCAATAAGGCTTGAAGTACTACCTCTACTTTGCATGCTGCTTCTTTTACTACTTCCAGAATACTTTTCCTCATCATTGGGAAAAGTAATATCTTCGCGTCTTAAATCGTCGTCACTCTCAAAATCATCGTATTGTCGAGTTGAAGAATGTCTTCGATACGAATCATCGTTAAGAGGACTAGCAGCAACAATTGACATCATTCCAGGCTGAATATCAGTGCTTAATACATTCGTTGATTCTTGCGTCTGAGACGATGACTGAAATGGAGATGTTGCAGCTGTTCTATAATATTCTTCGTGAGATTGTGATTGATGATGTGCTGGTACAACCTGTTGTAATTGGATAGAATTTTGTGTATCATGCCTTTGCAGATAAGTTCTGGTAGCTGTATTATGGCTAGTCTTAAATAAACCAATAGGTTCTTGACGATTACTGCTAAAAATTATATTTGGTGCTCCACAAGGATGTTCGTTTAGGTGTTCCATTGGTTTATTTATTAATATGACACGTTGAGTCTGAGGTTCTCCTTTTACAATACTACCCATTTGTGCAACTTTTACAATTGAAGATTCCGACTGTTCTGACAATTCTTCATTCCATGGCGGTACAACAAGACGTAACTCTGCTCTCTTAACAATCCGTTTGTCACCATTGTTCGTTAATACAGCAAATTGTTTTGTTGGTACATTTATAATATCCACAATTTGACCTTCAATAAAAACGTGTGTTGGGAGATCACTCATCAGAGAACGGACACAAACACGACGCCCAATATAAATCTAAAAGTAGAATAAGAATAAATCAATTAGAAAAATCAATATTAGCACTCAAAGCAAGATAAAGTTTAAACAATATAAAATTATTAATTTATAAAATAAAGAAAAAGATCAATGTACCTCATTCAAGCATGGTGGAGCATCACCAATTACATCGAACTTTCCACTGCCAAAAATATCCTGATATAATTGCTGTTGACCCTCTGGAAAATCTAATTCTACAAGTACACTATTAGATAAATTTGTTCGACGAGTCACGCCTTGCACATAATAGTCTTTTCTCTTAGCCAAAACTCTTTGATTGCACCATTCTTTGAGATCTACCAATGATTCCTGGGGTTGTTCGAATGACGGCGGCTGGCATGATGTCACAATTTGATTAGATGTCACTATTGCTTTCATGTGATTTGATGTTGTTGGACTAGATAAGTGTCATTTATTTTAATACAAATAAAAAGATAAAAATAATAATAAACTCATCTCACCTATAGCTTGACAACTGTCGTTTCATTATTTGTTGCATTTCTCCCGTATTATTACCCGCAACTTGTGTTACAATACTGTGTTGTGGATTATTATATGATGCAAAAGTTTGTTGATTGACGTTAGGTTCGTTTGAAGTTTGATAAACAAGAGATATTTTCTCTGGTGGCGACGATAACGATACAGGATTATTATATACTGTTGTCATGATATTCGATGTTGTCGCGGATAAATTATCATCCTCTAATTCTGACAAATCAAATTTCCTCTTTTTGGGATGTAGACGAGGAGCCTGCACATTAATAGTTTGTTGTATCATTGTTTTAGAATTATTAACATTCTCATCTAGTTTTACTGAATTATTATTTGCTGAAGCCTCATTTACGTTTTTCAAATTTGTCATAAACTTTTGATAATTTGTAGTCCCAACACTACTTATTACCGAAGCTGGTATCTAAAATAAACGAAAAACAAAAAAATTGTTTTAACAAAAACCAGATGAGATCTTATTAGGTATTTAATTTTTCAGATAATGCATAAAATATTGTATTCCAACCTTTTTAGAACCACTTTACACTCACAGTTGGAACAACAATACTATACTCTACTAAGAAAAATGCTAAATATTACATGCAATAAATAATGAAGATTTAGGCAATAAAGTACCGATTAGTTGAACTCGAGATTGAAACCCTTACAGATTAGTTATCTTCGATTAAAAACAGTTTGCTTAGGCTTAAATATACTTTTGTACTAGGGACCTACCTCTTCATCCAAATTTCCATGCTGCTGTTCTTGATTATTTCCACCTGTCAGTGTTGTCTTTTTATTATTATCTCTACTGTTTATATTTGAATTAGTACTAGGATCTGAAGCATGTGATTCCAATGTGGTTAATGATTGTTGTTGATTTGTTGTTCGAGGTACAGATTCTAAATTCGTTGAATGTGCTGTTACATGCATTCTTTTTCATTTATGTTTCAAACCACACAACCACATTCACAGAAAAAAACGTATGCATCATTTAGCTTAAAAGCTACACACTTTTCACTTTTCTTTCTTTGCATTAAATATTTATTTTGTTATGTTAAAATATTAATACGTTATTATTATTAAAACTGTACTTTATTTCTCAAATTTAGGTGAGGAATTTAACGAATAAAGTGTTTTATGGATTCATTCATTAATTAATAACAACTTTTTATTTTCTAAAAGTTCTGATTCAAAGCAAAAGATAATCAAACAGTTTATCTTTAATGATCACAAGTTCTGCTTTAATGCAACTTTAATGTTCTTGTTTCAAACACATTTTTAATTTTTTACTTTTATTTTTGATAATAATAATAATAATAATAATTTTTGTCATTAACAAACTTATTAATTACTCCGTCATTTTTTTCTTTTATTTTGTATGCTTTACAACAGCTCACTTGCTATTCATTTTTATTTTATAGCACAATTGTAGATAAACATGAGAATGAGAAAGAGAGTAGAAAAAGAAACAATATGTACATCGGAAGAATATGAAGATGAGAATGTGTTTATAAACTATTGTGAAGCAGACATGTTCTGGCATGCATGTTTAGGTAAATCAGTAAGAAGAAAAGTTATGAAGATAAAAGGGTACGGAAGAAAGTTATATAATATATATATATATATATATATATATATATATATATATATATATATATATATATATATATATAAAACATTTGATCAATTTTATTTAATTGTGTGAACAATTTGACCATCTACATAATTGTTCATTCCAATTGACACTAGGTTTTTTCAAAAAATAAATTAATTTCTTTCTAATTACATGCTTTTAAATATCCAGAACTCCAGTTTTTAATTAGATCTACAGAGCATAGAAGGAAAACCTATATGACACTGTTGTGCTTGATTTTGATTCTTCTTTGTAATTCCACAATTAAAATGCTTCTAAATGAAAACGAACAAAATTCGTGTGTGGGTTGTGCATGTAAACTCTCGTTTTCTTTTTCTATACTATAACTTGCAAAAGTGTCCGGACTATACAAACATGAAGCTTGATAAATGTGTATATAAACATATTTATATACAAAAAAAGTATGAAAGGCAATACGAAATATTTAATTCATAAAACAAAAATTCGTGAATGAAAATTAAATTTTCGTAAAAAATTTTAATTAATGAAGAAGGCACATGATGATTTCTTTCTTCTTTTTTGAATCGTAAAAATTAACGTTATATTTGCCACCGATTATTGATTTGAAGTTTTTTAATAGTCAAATATTTATAAAATTTAAGAATTTTTTAATTTTATTTATTTATTATTGATTATACTCGTTTATAATCTAATTTGATGGATATTTATAGTTACAATTTTTTTTTATAAGCATTTGTTTTATTTCATCATATACTCAAAAAACACACAAAATAAGAAACCTTCTTTTTGCCTTAATGATACATGAAATGAATAAAAGAGAGACCTCATAAGAATAAAAATAAAATAAAAAATAAAAAAAAAATTAAAAAAGGAAACAAGTTTTTGAATCAATATATAATATTTTTCTTTAGTCTTTTGGTATTTTATATGAATCACTTTACGTTGGTGTTAGTTTTGTGAGTCCTCTCAATTCACATTTTTTCTTTTATATATATATATATATATATATACATGCAAATGTATAGTTTACTTTTTTTCATTTAAGCTTCTTTAATTTTACAACTTGATTTTTTTCACAAAATGATTTTTAATCGCTCACATGTATGCATAGAAAATTGCACTTACATTTTTTATTTATTGTTCACTATTTTAAATAAACCTCAATTTTGTAAATTTTATTTTTTTTTTTTCATTGACTCGTTCTAATAAAATGTACATAGGATGAAAAAAAAATGTTTATCCAATTTTTCGATTAAACATAATTTTTAATACACTCTCCATCAACTTTCATAAACGTTTGGTAGTATTTTTCTATTATTTTTTTAATGATGCTTTTGAAGCAACAATAAGATCTTAATATCAAATGTTTTCTTTAAAAAAGATACGCGAATGTCCGATTACTTATAACTTTTTCTTCTTCACCTCTATAGACAGAAAAAAGAAGCGTACAAAAATGACGGTACAAATAGAAAATTTATGTGGGTGGATTATTCGTTAATTATTTTTATACAGAAATAATAATCAATTTAATTTCAGTTCTGATAACATGAAATGAATATCAAGAAATTTATTTAATACTTCGTCAATTGAAGTAGCGCGCAAATAATGATCATTACACAACTTTTAATCTTTCCCTAAGTCTAAAAAGAAATAAATCCAAAGTAAGTGAGTTATGTTAAACAACATAAATATAATATTATGAAACTATTCTCAAAAACTAAGTTAGATAAAGTTTTTTTTTTGGAAAATAAATAAAAAAATAAAAAAATTGTTTTTTTCTAAATTTTCTCGAACACAAGTCTTGTCATTTTTAATTTGTAAAATTATTTGGATGGTATTTTTCCTACAAAATTTTTAAAAAATCAAACAAAAACGTTAAAAATAGTTTTTTAATACAGTAAAAACTTAAGATTCAATGATAATTTAATGACGATTGGATCTCACAGAGACTTGATTACGTTTCTAAAACAGTTCTCAATATTTATTTCAATAGTTTTAGTAGTTGAGCATTTATTATTTATATACAGATTAAAGAAGATTTGAGGAAGCTAATTATTATAGGATTTTAAAATTTTGTTTAAACTAATTTAATATATACACAAATATGTAAAATGTAAATTATTATCAAACAGTATGTCGTCAATAAATGCATTAAAATACAATTGATTTATTGAAAAACGGATATCAGCTCTCAATAACTTAATATATCAATCTATCCCGAATAGACAAAGAGCGTACTCACTTTTGTGAGCACGTTAATGAGCATGCTCAAAATCATCATTTAACGTGCTCACCTGAGCACACTCAGTTGAACATGCTTGTGAGCACATTGTGAATATGCTCACAAAAAAACAAATTTTTTGAAATTTTTTATTTTATTGAGCATGCTCGAGAGCATACTCAATTCCTAAATCTAAGCATGCTCACTTGAGTACACTCTTAAGCATACTCGTGAGCACATTGTGAATATGCTCACAAAAAAATTCATTTTTTTAAATTTTTCATTTTATTGAGCATGCTCGAGAGCATACTCATTCTCGAGAGCATGCTCATGAGCATACTCAATTACCAAACTTAAGCATGCTTGTTTTATTTTTGATTTTTCAATGAAACACGTCTTTATGTTTTTGTTCGAGATATTCAACTGATTTATTGTTTTTCTCTGATTACTCAGATCATTATTTTACATCTCCCTTCTCTTATCAATTCCCATATCTTTGTACTGGTTTAGGAATTCTTGATGATCGTCGGAACGGTTGTTGGTTCGAATTAATCTCTGTTGAGGTTGCAGTTGTTTGGTGATGAACGGGAGATGCGGCATTTGCATTAGAATTCAGAGGAGGTTCATGCAGTGAGTTGTCAGCGAAGAAGTTATCGAGATTGATTCTGTATCGACTAGACTCATTGCATTTCTTTTGATCAATTTGATTGGATACTGTTGACCTATCATGTCGAATGAATTTAGAATTTCGTCTAATAACTCTATTATTATCCATACAAATCTCATATGATCTAGGCTCTGAACATTTCTTAACGATTGATCCTTTAGACCAAGTGTTATCAGGCAATTGTACCCACACCTTCTGATTTAAATCAAATCCATTACGTTTATATGAATTTCGATTGTAATAAACTTTGGTTTTAGTTTGCTTCTTTTCGAATTTTTCACCTAAATTGTGATTTAACTTTGGTTCAAGCAAGCTATCTTTCATAATAATTTTAGTTCTCATTCTTCTATTATTAAGCAATTGACTAGGAGACAAGTCAATATCCGTTAACGGAATGTTATTGTAATTATAAATTGCTATTAAAACTTTATTGAAATTATCGCATTTCTTCATCATATTTTTAACTATTCCTACAGCTTTCTCTGCAAGACCATTCGACTGTGCATAACGAGGACTTGAAGTGACTATTTTAATATCCCACTCCTGGGCAAAACTTCTACATTCAAATGAATTAAACGGCATGTTGTCTGCAATAATAGTCTTTGGAAAGCCGTGTTCTGTAAAAATCTCAATGTATTTAGAAATTACAGCGTTCGAATTCTTCGAACTTAAATATTTACACGAAATCCATTTTGAAAAGTAATCAATAACAACAAGATAACTCTTTCCACTGTATTCAAGGTTCTATTCGATTTCTGAAACTTGTTGCACTCTTCGCAACTCTTAATTAAATTCTCTATACTAACATTTAGTGAAGGCCAATAAACTGATTCTTTCGCGAAACGTAAGGTTTTAGTAATTCCCATGTGACCTTCATGAAGATCTTTAAGAACATTTTCTCTCAATGATTTGGGAACTATTATTCTATCCTGATAAAATACTAAATCATCCGAAACATAAATTTCATTTCGCAAATTATAAAAGAATTTTATTTAATCAGGTACTTTTGATTTGTCTGACGGCCAGCCCTCAGCAAAGTATTTCTTTAACAACGAGCATTCTTTATCTTTATCTGTCTCAGCTTGATAGATTTTTAGTTTATCATCACTAATATTCACTGAATGAATCATTTGTTTCTTGAAATTCTCTTCAAAATCTATAGCTATCAATTTATTTGAAACGTATCGAGATAAGTAATCTGCTACTGGAATGCTTTTGCCGGGCTTGTACTTCAAATCTAAATCATATTTGTGTAACCTTAATCGAATACGCTGCAAGCGTTTTGATCCTATCTTACTAATATCTCTATAATTATACTTTCTAAAGGACGATGGTCAGATATTATAGTAACTTTCCTTCCATAAATATAATTGTGAAACTTTTTGCACGCAAAGAAAACGGCTAAAAATTCTTTTTCAATCTGACCGTACTCCTTTGACTGTTTCAGAAAGACAACGTGAAGCAAAGCTAATAACTTTATCTCCTTGTTTTAAACATGCACCTAAACCGTATGACGAGGCATCGGTTTCTAAAATTATTGGCATATTTTCATCAAATGAAGTACATGAGGTGACGTTTTTTATTACTTCTTTAACAAATTACGTATATTGACTGTTAAAGAAGGTAAATTGGGAATGAAGTCCCTTATATAATTAACTATTCCTAAAAACTTTTGTACGTCTTCCAGATTTTTAGGATTTGGAATACTATTAATTGCTGAAATCCTTTCTGGATCAACATCTACTTTATTCTTAGAAAAGATATGGCCAAAGAATTTTACTGAACTTTGTGTGAATTGTAATTTCTTCTGATTGAATTTCACACCAGACTTTAATGCCCTGACCATTAATCTTCCTAAATTCTCATCATTTTCTCTGAGCGTTTTACCAGTAACAATAATATCGTCAATATAAAATTTGACTCCAGGTAAATCGCCAAAAGTATCCATCATGTACTTTTGAAAGATTTCAGATGCAATATTTATACCAAAAGGCATTCTATTAAGTTGCCACAAGCCAAAAGGAGAACTAAACGTGCACAATTTTTTGGATTCTTCGTACAACTCTATGTGCCAAAAACCATCCTTGAGGTCTAAAACCGTAAAATATTGAGAATCTTTCAAATCTTGCTTTAATTCATCAAGGGATGGAATCGGAAAATGAAACTTATTTAATGCTTGATTCAAATGTTTTGGATCAATACAAATTCTAATTTTGTCTCCTTTTTCAACAATTACTATACTATTAATCCATTCACGTTGTTCATTGACACGTGAAATAATTCCTATCTTTTCCATTGCATTTAATTTATTCTGAAGCTTATTCTTTAACTTGAATGGAATTCGACGATTCTGATTTGCCATCGGAATTGCATTATCCTTTAATTTCAATTTAAGAGGTCTATTAAATTTGGCTAGACCTGTAAAAACTTTTTTATAAAAATCTAAAAACATATTCTTTTGCTGTTCTGAACACAACATTTGATTCAATTGCAAGGAATCTATACGAGATATAAGTTTTAGATTTACACATGTCTCTAAACCTAATAAAGGTACCGTATGTTTATCAATGATTATGAATTCTTCAAGGTAAACATTATTATTGAAATTAATTGGAAGA